CACCACTCAGCTTGGTGTCATCTGCAAACTTGCTGAGGGTGCACTCGATCCCACTGTTTATGTCACTGATGAAGATATTAAACAGTACCGGTCCCAGTACAGACCCCTGCAGGACGCCACTCGTCACCAGTCTCCACCTGGACATTGAGCCGTTGACCACTACCCTCTGGATGCGACCATCTAACCAATTCCTCACCCACCAGCCAGTCCACCCATCAAATCCATACCTCTCCAGTTTAGAGAAAAGGATGTTGTGGGGGACCGTGTCAAAGGCCTTACAGAGGTCCAGATAGACGACATCTGTAGCCCTTCCCGTGTCCACTGATGCAGTCACTCCATCATAGAAGGCCACTAGGTTGGTCAGGCAGGACGTGCCCTTGGTGAAGCCATGCTGGCTGTCTCGAATCACCTCACTGTCGTCCATGTGCTTTAGCATAGCTTCCAGGAGGATCTGTTCCATGATCTTGCTGGGCACAGAGGTGGGACTGACTGGCCTGTAGTTCCCCGGGTCTTCCTTTTTTCCCTTTTTAAAAATGGGGGTTATGTTTCCCCTTTTCCAGTCAGTGGGAACTTCACCGGACTGCCACGACTTCTCAAATATGATGGATAGTGACTTAGCAACTTCATCCACCAGTTCCTTCAGGACCCACGGATGGCTCTCATCAGGTCCCATGGACTTGTGCACGTTCAGGTGCCTTAGATGGCCTGAGGCATCTCCAATTCAGACACCTACTTCTTTTTTTTTTCTTTTTTTTCTTTTTCCAGGCTGCAGTGACCCATGACCAACACCAGCATGCCAGCTACGCCTCTAGTGCAGGCACATTATACAAGCGTGTTGTGTTATACTTTGGCAAACAGTCATCCATGAGAGCACAGCTTTATGCTGCATCTGCATCCGTACTCGCAATGCTTTGTCAGTAAAATATCCTGGTAAAGAGCCTCCTACAAACAGACTGGCTATCAATCATGAAATACACTGTGCAGAAGCCTTTTGGACAAGTCTCAAGAAACATATCGGTTCTGTTCGCAGTCACGAGATGATGCCACGGTACACTCTGTCACGAAGAGGAGTTCCATTCATCCTCCAACTCTGTTCCAAGCTGTTCTCCCTCCCTGCCTCCTCCCCTACACACTGATGTGAAGCATACTACGTGCTGCTCGTTGGTCTGGCTGTACTTCTGCAATGATCTTATATTTATGTAGTTTGAGAGGCCCTCGGAATCTTGAGCCACATAAATGGAAGCTATTTCATGAGACAAGACCTTCTCTCTTTAATGTGGTCTATGCACTAAGTATTTAAAGTAAAAAGTTGCAGTCTATAGTAATTATTGAGAATGACCAAAGCTGTTCATAACAAGTTTATTAAAAAAAAAACTAAACAGACATTAAAAGTTAGTTATTACAGTCAATTCTCTCCCACTGAACTTTATAATAAAGGGTTATTTTCAACCTAAACATTCAATTTAAAATTGAAACGTGAGCTCCCAGAGAAAATTCAACAGTTTTTGCCATGACATTTCATTGGAAAAATAATGGAAAGAAAGCAGACACTGTTTCAAAAGTCACTTGTAAGAGAATCCAATTTTCTATGGAAAACAGTGGAGAACAGTTTCAGCCAGTACAACCGAACAGCTTCGCAGTTCCGATTCTTAAAACAGATTTCTCCATCCACATGTTACTACAACTCTAATCACAGGAGTTCAGAGTTTGAAGCCAGAAACACACCCACTGCTATTACTTCTAGTACACTAGTGCCCAGAAGCCCTGCCAGCATGTACGACTCCTGCTTACACACCTTGCCAAGCAGAGTCCTCCTACAGAAATCAACAAGCTGCATTAACGGTTTTGCCCTTTAGAACATGGAGATTAGGCCATAGAGCAATTTTTAAGAGTTTGATCTTTCCCTTCATCTCTTCTCCAAAAGTTTCCCATCCCGATTGTTCACAGCTAGGACCTTTTCCTGCAGTTTAGGCTCAGCTCTCTGACCACAGGGTGGGGGGAAAGGAGGAAAAAGAAGAAAAAAAAAAAAGGATAACAAACGTTTCTGCATGCTTCAACGCTTGAGTCAGCCAGCCCTCTTTGTACAAAAGACATCTTGTATCTTGCAGATATGAGAAGCCCTATACATGGTTTTAAAGGCCAAATAAGGCAGTGGCCAAAAGCTCTTTCCAAATATGTATTTTCGTGCAATCATTATAGTTTTCTATAATCACACTCTTTGTTTGTTAACCCAAATTAAAAAAAAAAAAATCATCAATATGACCAGAACTTACAAATTCTCAGTAGTAATCACAGCTATTACTCTAACACCTACATAAGAAAAAAAGGAGCCCCAATCATACTATGCATGGTATGAACAGTACTGGACATTTCAGTTATCTATACATAACTTTGTTCTATGAAGCACCAAATTTCTAATAAAAACAGCTGAATCAGAAAGTTTTTGCAGAACACTCTTCAAGAGCAAGGTAAAGTGAAAATTACAATTTGCTACATTTTTGCCACAAGCTAGCTGTTATGAAGGCTTGTAATTCACACTGAACACAAAGCACTACACACTCTTCCACCAGGTGTGGCTGTTTTGGTTACATTTTTTTTTCAGCTTAACATCCCTTAGGATATCTTAACGG